ACACTTGGTGAGTTGTAACAGAAAGGCGGCCGTGTGAACCCCACAGCAAGAGTGTCTCAAACAGTGAAGTGTTCCCCCAACCTACACGGTTCGTAGCTGCTTTTTTCCTCCTTTATGGTGAGGCTGTCTGGGTGGATGTCAGCATCACATTTTCTTACATTCCTGCAGTTTTAAGGATCCTTGAAATTACCCATGACACTCCCCCTACTTTTTTTTTTTTTTGAGACTGAATTTCCCTCTTGTTGCTCAGGCTGGAGTGCAGTGACACGATCTCAGCTCACCACAACCTCCGCCTCCCGGGTTCAAGCAATTCTCCTGCCTCAGCCTCCTGAGCAACTGGGATTACAGGCATGTACCACCACGCCGGCTAATTTTGTATTTTTAGTAGAGACAGGGTTTCTCCACGTTGGTCAGGGTAGTCTCGAACCCCTGACCGCACGTGATCCACCCGCCTCAGCCTCCCAAAGTGCTGGGATTACAGGCGTGAGCCACCACACCTGGCCATGACCCATATTTTTTTTAAGTCTATGACTCTAAATGCTTTTAAGTTGGGAAGATACAAATTCACACTCAGGCTGGGCACGGTGGGTCACACCTGTAATCCAAGCACTCTGGGAGGCCAAGACGGGCAGATGCCCTGAGGTCAGAAGCTGGAGACCAGACTGGCCAACATGGCGCAATCCCATCTCTACTAAAAATACAAACATTAGCCGGGCATGGTGGCAGGCACCTGTAATCCCAGCTACTTGAGAGGCTGAGGCAAGAGAATTGCTTGAACCCGGGAGGTGGAGGTTGCGGTGAGCCAAGATCAGCCCACTGCACTCCAGTCTGGGCCACAGACCAAAACTCTGTCTCAAAAAAAAAAAAAAAAATTCATTCATTCAACAAGGAATGTCTACTGAACACCCAACATGTCCCAGGAGCTGCCCTACATCTTAGGGGGTCGCAAGGCTGACGTTTCCATAGCTTTCCACAGTGTGACACTCACACCCTAGCCAGGTATTTGCAAACTGCAACCCACAGGTTCAGTCCTGCCTGCCACCTGTTTTTGTACAGCCTGCAGTCTAAGAATGGTTTTGACATCTTTTCGTGGTTGCAAAAAAAAAAAAAAAAAAAAAGCAAAAGAAGAAAAATGTCTCATAATGTAAAAATTGCATGGAATTCACATGTTTGTGTCCATAAATAAAGTTTTATTGAAACACAGGCACACTTGCCCATGGGAGCTTTCTTGCTACAACAGCAAAGCAGAGCGGTCTGGACAGAGATGACCTCTGGCTTACAAAGCCGACAATATTTACTGTCTGGCCCTTCCAGAAAAAGCCCCTGCCCTAGTAGATGAGACAAACAGATACACAAACAGATTAATACCCAGCTCTGATCATGTGACATGCAAAGAAGGAGAAGCAGGGAAGGGAGGCGACTGGAGTGACAAGGAGCCCGCTGGGTGGAAAGAGCCCCAGGTAGTGGGCACCGCAAGTGCACAGGTCCTGGGGAAGGGAAGGGCGGGCAGGGAAGGTGGCTGTGCCAGGAAAGGAACAGGCGCAGGAGGGAGAGCGGGAGGAAAGGAAGGACAAGGCCACAGATGACAGAGCGAAGGGGCCACGTGAAAGGGCCTGGAATTTTTCCCAAGGGCAATAGGAAGCCACCGGAAGGTTCTGAGCAGAGGAAGATCTTTTGTTTGTTTTGGTTTTTACTCGTGTGACTACCTTTTTTTTTTTTTTTTTTTTTTTTTGAGACAGTCTCACTCTGTCTCCCAGACTGGAGTGCAGTGGTGTGATCTCGGCTCACCGCAGCCTCTGCCTCCCAGGTTCCAGAGATTCTCGTGCCCCCACGTCCCAAGTAGCTGGGACTACAGGCGCCCACCACCACGCCCAGCTGATTTTTGTATTTTTGTAGAGATGGGATTTCACCATGTTGGCCAGGCTGGTCTCAAACTCCAGACCTCAGGTGATCGTCCCGCCTTGTCCTCCCAAAGTTCTGGGATAACAGGTGTGAGCCACCACACCTGGCCATTTATTTTATTTTATTTTATTTTATTTTATTTATTTTTTTGAGACGGAGTCTTGCCCTGTCACCCAGGCTGGAGTGTAGTGGAGGATCTTGGCATAATTCTCCTGTCTCAGCTTCCCAAGTAGCTGGGACTACAGGTGTGTACCGCCATGCCCAGTTAATTTTTTTTATTTTTGTAGAGATGAGGTTTCACCATGTTGGCCAGGCTGCTCTCGAACTCCTGACCTCACGTGATCTGCCCGCCTCAGCCTCCCAAAGTGCTGGGATTATAGGCGTGAGCCACTGCACCCGGCCAGTTATTTTGTTTTTAATATACTTTGTTTTAGGGAGCAGTTTTAGGTTCACAGCAGAACTAAGCAGGAGGTAGAGACTTCCCATGTTCCCCGCCCCTACAGGGAAGGCCATTTTCCGAGCTCCTCGAGGGAGCAGCAGGGAATGGACGGACCCAGATCTAATCAAGCCCAGCATCCAAGAACAGGCCAAGTCACGCGGGGAGTGAGCTTGAAAATCAATTCGTCCGAAAACCAAAAAACATCAATTTGTCAATCCACTCCCGCCTCAATATTTGGGAAGATACACATTTCCTTTTTTTCAATATAGAGGTTAAGCTCATTTGAACACGGTTAGTAAAAGTATGTGCAACTTGGCCAAGCATAGTTGCTCACACCTGTAGTCCCAGCACTTTGGGAGGCTGAGGCAGGCGGATCACTGGAGGTCAGGAGTTTGAGACCAGCCTGGCCAACATGGTGAAATCCTGTGTCTACTAAAAATACAAAAGTTAGCCGGGCATGGTGGCAGGTGCCTGTAATCCCAGCTACTGGGGAGGCTGAGGCTGAAGAATCACTTGAACCCGGGAGGCAGCACTTGTAGTGAGCTGAGATTGAGCCACTGCACTCCAGCCTGGGTGACAGAGCGAGATTCTGTCTCAAAATAAATACATACATACATGCATACATACATGCATACATACATAAAAGTATGTCCAACTAGCACATTAACGTCCCACAACTTTGGGGACATTACTGTTCAGGAAGAGGCCAAGATCAAAGAGGTGCGTCATTCTAAAATGGATTTAAAGAAAACGGTCCGGCAAATCGACAGGTCAAGGCTATGGTGACTGGGAGGGTATGGAAATGCCACCTCTGGGGGCAGCCAAGCAAGCCTGGGCAAGGACCTGCCAGAGCTCAGAGGCCAGAGAGCAGCCCAGGAAGACCCGGAGCTCAGAGGCCAGATGCATGGAGTGCAGGGGACCCTGTGGGGGACTCCTCTCCTCTCAGGTGGAAGCTGCCACCCTGGAAGGGCAGAAAGACAGTCGCGGAGAACCTGAACAACCAGGTGAGGAGTGTGGCCGGGACACAGTTTGCAAATAGGAGTCACTCACTGCTAAAGGGTGAGTGGGGAGGACAGAAAGGGAGCTGAGGCCCATCACAGTCACAGCACACCATGAGCTGCTGCAGGGCTGAAGGCCAAGTCCAAGGTTCTCACTGGGGGGGTGACAGTGCTTTCCAGGGGACATTTTGGGTTGCTACAGCTTAGGGGACACTGCTACTAGCATCTGGTGGGTGGCAGTCATGGATATTGCCCACATTCATCCTACAGTGCCCAGGACAGCCCCGCCATGGAATGTCCCAGCTCAGAACGTGGACAGGGCAGAGGTGGGGAGACCCCAGTGGGGCAGCAGGATCCTGCCATGTAATAAACCGGCTCTGAACTCAGAGCTCCTGGCGCCCTGCAAGCTTCAGTGTCTTTTACCCGCTTTGATCCTCACAACCACCTGGGAGGAAGGTGTTCCCATTACACTCGTTTTACAGATGAAGAGAGCGAGGACCAGAGAGGGGAAGTGACCGCCTCAGAGCAGGGATCTGAATCCAGGTCTCTCCAACTCTGAAGCCTGTGTGGGGCATGGAACCGAGGGCAGAGACCCAGAGATGTCACCAAGACCACCAGATGAGAACGGAGCTCAGGCTGGGCCCCTGCTCTCCTGTCCGGCATCCTAAGCCAGGAGCAGAGGCTCCTGGGGCAGGAAGGGGGAGGGCTGTGGCGTCTGAAGGCCCCACCAAGCTGCCTCATGGCAGGTCCCTGGAGCTGAGCCAGGAGCCCAGAGTGAAGCTGTGGATGAGGACGGCCGATCTGTCATGGTGGTGACCAGCACAGGCTTGCGGAGCCCTCCGCCAGCCCCCACCCCATTCATCTGCTCTCCGTCCCCTCCCGCCCAGTGGGCTCGGAAAGGTTTAGTGCCCCCTGACCTGCTTTGTTACTCAGCAAGTGACTGGCTCAAGGTCACCCAGCTCTGAACCCCCAATTCCGCTCCCCGATCCAGGGAACAAAGCCACCTATGAATGCACCTCAGGCCCTCAACAGCCTTGCCTCGTCCTGCCTGCTCCCTGAGCTGGGTCCGAGGGCAGCGGACTGCACACCACCATTCCAGCTGTGACCAGGCCCTGGGCAGCCAGCTCACCCTTTCCCCCACCACACTCTAAACCCACAGGAGCCAGGGACTCCTCCCAACCTGTCCCGGCATGGCACTCGGCACTCAAAACCCAGCAGCCCAGACCAGGTGAACGCATGACCGCAAGGACCGTCCCCACAGGTGTCAGATGGAACCGAGGACAGATGGCTTCCCTGGAGCTGAGGCTCCTCCCCAGCTCATCGGGGGAGTGGGCGGGGCATAGGACAAACAGGGGCAGGAAACCAGCAGAGGAGACAGAGCAATTAGGAATTAAAGCACAGGCAGAGTGGTCAGGCGGGAGAGAAGGACACAGAGGGCGACCCCTGACCGCCCCCAGAGGGCTCCTGCAGGACGGACAGGGACTGAAGACACGGCAGGAGGCTGAGGAAGGGTCTCTTCCACAAGACAGAAAAGTACAACAAAGGCCAGGCGGGGTGCTGTGCGGTGGCTGATCAGTTATACCTTTAAGCGCCAGTAGTTAACATCTTGTTAGCAGCTCCCTCCCCAAAGAAGAAAAGGTTAGAAAATGCGAACAAACCGATTGTTACCACGACATATATATTTCAAGTCTCAGCAACTAAACACACACGTGCACACGCAGGCACCCGCAGCTCCTGACACAGTACACGCTTCCACCAGAACAGCCTGCACACAGACACCCATCTGTGCGGCAGAATCTCCGTCACCCTCTTTTCCTCCCCAGCGGTGACCTCCTCTAGGCCAGGACGGTCTGACCCGTCCTGGTGTCGCCGGCTCAAGGAGGGGGAGCGCCCGGACCTGCCAGGTGTCCAATCAGACACACGGAGACGAGGCTGGCAAGTCCCAGAAATCCTCGGCTCAGACAGAAGTTGACTCTACCACGGCTTTACACTCCGACCTTCAGGGTTTCAAAACATAAACTGCAAAGAGGAGAGAGGCTGCCCACTGCGTCAGCAGGGGCTGCAGGAGAAGGCTGACCCCGTGTGTTGACAAACCCTCCTGGTGGCTCATAAGGAAGCTATTATTGGGGAATTAGGGGAGTCATTAGCTCTCGAACGGCAGTGATAAAAGCCCATAGGAGTCGTCTAATGAGCCTGCTTTAGGACTGGTGCTGTTTTTAGGAGCATTCTCCAGCCCGGGGAGATTCTGATAAATGGCCATTGAGGCAGAGGGGTGGGGCAGGGCACCGATCCCTTGAATGCAGCCCAGTATCCAGAGATCCCAAGACAGTGCAGGCACCCGGTGGGACCCAAAGCAACTTGCTGAATACATGCCCCAGCCAGAAACACATGGAAAAAGACGCTCTTCACATATGACAGGATCACCGGGCTCCACGAAGCTGAACCACCTTCTCACTAGTTTCACAACTCGGGGAACACTTCCCCACAAGGTGCTGCTGAATTATTAAAACACAAGCATCCTCCCCCAAGCAAACAGATGGGATGCACCCAAAAGCAGTCCATGCCTCCACTGCCCCCAGGGGCGGAAAACATGCCTCTAAAAAACTTCCACCGTGCCCAGGTGGACAGAGACCCCGTCCTGCCTGATTGTCATGGCCACCACTGAGCGCAGACCTGGGCCCTGGCAGACCCCAGGTCAAGCAGATTTCAGAGCGAGTCCGTCCCCAGCTCCCACGGGGATGTCCACGGGGGACGCAGAAAAGGGGTCTCAGCGGAAGCAACTCCTCAATTCATTTCTCTAGAGCAGGGGCTTCGTTCGAGATGGCGATCAGGCTGGAAGGGGGAGGGACGGGGAGACTCGTGGAGGCTGCCGTTGCATAGCAAGACGTTTTTTTTCTAAAATCCAGATTGCATATGCTTATGGGGGGGGTGGGGTTTCGGGTACGTACGGGGGGCAAGTTTGGAAGCCACCAAGGCACAGCAGGTTGACCGGGGGTGGGGGCAGCGCAGGAGCAATGATAGGCATTTAGGGGGCATCCCTGGGTGTCCAGCTGGAGGGCTTCCCCTTAGCCCCTCTGGCGCCCAAAGGGCCAGAAACGCAGGCGGGGGTTACCCAGGTACTGGGGTCTTTTTTCTTTTTCTTGCTTTCTTTAAATAATAATAATAATAATACGCTGAGGGTTGTCCTGGGTGATAAAAGGGCCCGGCCGGGGCCACCCACGCTGTCATCTTTTGTGCGGGGCGCCAGGACCG